CAAAAAAAAAAAAAAAAAAAAAAAAAAAAAAAAAAAAAGTGCTCTCCTTTCTCTCTTCCCCATTGGACACTAATATCCAGAGGCAATTCAAGGAGTTACAAGAATATAGATGCCTTACAAGTACCCTTTTACAAAAAAAAGGAACAGCTCTCTGCTATTAAATAAATAAAAACAGACTTAGGAAGACTTGTGTCAACTGATAGCTAGCAAAATTCTTATAACCTATTTCAGTCCTTAACTACAAGTCAAATGATAGCTAGCAAAATTCTTATACCCTATTACAGTCCTTAACTACAATAAGATCTCATAAGTCCACATGCCCTTTCAGTTACACTGCAAACTACACTACCCTCATGGAGGATGGGCTGTGCTACTTGCTTTATTTTTCTTTACATACACAGATTTTCAGCAACCTTTCTCAGACAAAACAATTAAAACTGATATTGCATCAATGCTCCCTGATAGCCATTGACTACCAGAAAGCACACAAGAAAGATTTCCATAGAGTTGCTGGCCTAAAGCACCCATACTTTAGTATTTTGTGTCATAGTTTTCGAAATAGCCCCTAAGAATGAAGAAAAACAGTTTTATTGCATTTCTCTTTCACGAGGAATAACAAGAAAAACATTTGGGTCAACATAGTGTCTAACTAGTCCTTTGGAAAAGAAGCTATTGTGGTGGATTTCTGAGGACTGCAAATGTAATTGCTTCCTCTCTTAGCCCTTCAGTCCTTAACAACTTCCCTTTATAAAGACTAAAAACTACTTTGATGTTGCTGACAGTGCATCAGCACAAACTTTCCTTCATCAAACCTCTTTACAATACATTTTTGTTGACAATTTGCCTTTAACAATGTATATTGTCAATTGCAATGTCAATATAGTGACATTAATTTTTACTCTCTGTATCGACTCAGATATAAAGTATAAAGTTCTGTCCACTTGCTTCTGAATAAAAAAAAAAAAAAAAGAACTGAGTTGGCAGACATCCTATGGTGAAGGGCAAGTCTTACTTTTATAGATACTGAATTTAGTTCATGACCTGAAAAGGACAATTTTTTTTCTTGCAAAATAAAAAAAAAAAGTGTTTTACAAATATTTGTGGTTTAGTATGTGGCTCTCCAGTCTTGAGATGCTCAATCTATGACTTTTTTTTCAACAGCTAATGATTTACCCGGTGCTGGGTTAACTTATTTGAAAATCTTTACTCACCTGAATTATGACATCTAAGTCCGAAGGGTTAAGGATCTAAAACGTGAAGGCATTCAAAGCAAAGGTCCTTTTGTGTTAATCCAAGATAGAAGGCAGATAACCAGCAACTAGCCTTGTGCCAAGGGAACCCACGAAGAAATCCAAATCCAGCATGCTATCCAGAGAAGCAGGGCGTCCTTTTCCCTTCTCACACCTAAGGTACAACCAGAAGGAGCCAGAGGCAAACCCTGCAGATGCACCCGATCAGCGGAATACTAATTACAGGGGGCGGTTTGGGGAGAGGGAGCAACCTTAGGCGAGTTCCACATTCACGTAAGGCCAAAGGGGTCTAGTGCACACAGTTCAAAAGACTCCTGCTCTCACAGGCACACACCTCCTTCCAGGCTCAGATCTCTGCAGAAGCTGGAGGCGGCACAGGCTGCCCGGAATTGCGCCAGCATCGGTCCATGGTGTCTACTAGGTACCTTTTTGAGGACCGCGGTGCAAAAGGCGGCTGTTTACCTCTGCGTCTGGAGTGCTTTGGGGGATTCGCTCTCACCCTACTTCCCTCGCGTAGCACCTGGTATCTGTCAACACTGCTTTTCCGGCCAAGCGCGTGTGAGCTCAGTCCTCTCGCCCGTCCTGCCAGGCAGAAGGAACGTCTCACGACAGCGCTCAATAACTTGGAAACGCCGCGGGAAACTCCGCACGGATACCCCCGCCCGCTCTCTGTTCACAGATCTGTCCTGCTCCCCGCGGTGCGCTGCGAAGGCGCGCTTCTGCAGGGAGCCATCCCCAGCCCCGTGCCAGGCACACACACACTCACCTAGTGTCTCGCTACTCTACCAGCCGCGTCAGAGCCCTGAAACCATGGCATTTGCATCCGAAAGGATGCGGCTTGGCGTGGGGGTTGGGGTGGGGGTGGGGGGAACGGCGCAGTACTGGCTGCTAGGCAAGCCAGGCAGAAATGGAGGCACGAGATCCGCACCTGCTCAGCCAGCAGCCACCCGCTCTTCCTCCAATCACAGAGGACTCCGCAGGGCGAGAGGATTCTATGAGGCCTTGCATGCCAGAGTCCCGCTCCGTGCGGAGTCTAGAAGGGTTACCGTCTTTCTGTCGTGGCCCCCACCCCCGACACACACACACACACACACACACACACACACACACACACACACACACACACACACACACACACACACAATCTCCTCTGCACTGTAGCCTCTGGTACCAGGTCTGAAGCCAACGGAAGCGCGCGTCCCGGGAGAGGGCGAGAGGGCCAGCGTTGGTGACTGAGAGAGGGCGCGCGGACGCAGGCTCAGAAATGAGCTTTAGAGGGTGGTGCGCATCCCAGCGGGTGACCATTGACAGCACTCAGCGGGAGAAGCTATTGCGACTTCAGGACCTTCTTGAAACTCGGGAAGGTCTGTGGGCTGTCTTCACCAAGAGAGAATCGCTTAGCCACGCGCGGGCACACACATCCACACCTGCGAATCCTCCTCCACCTCCTGAATGACTGATCTGGGCAGATAGATTCCTTTGTAGCGAAATAAAAAAGACGGTTGAAAGTGGAAGGAGCTCAAGCTCGCCTTCACTCCTCCCTGCCCCAAAGTATTTGAATCTGAAAGGAGAGAGAGAGAGAGAGAGAGAGAGAGAGAGAGAGAGAGAGAGAGAGAGAGAGTGACTTTTGAGTTTTCGAGAATTCTTTTTTTCAAGCACCCCTCACCCCCGCTACCCCCTCCCCGTCTTAGCCTGTCTAGGAAGCCTTTATCAATTAAACTCTTGAAGCACGAATGCAGTCATAAATATAGTCAAAACTTACAGTTTCCTTGCTTGATAGTCTTGCCCTTTCATTCTCAGACTTCCCTACTTTTACTTTCTTTTACTTGCAGAAAATTTCCTCGCCTGTTATGCTCTTTAAGGAAAAAAATTCCGAAGTATGTGATTTCCACGCAGCGTGGAATTCTAGAGCGTTGTGAATACTGCAACGGGAGCGCAGCACAATGGAATACGCTTTGTTTGCCTTTGTTGGGTGCTTGATTTAACCTGGTGACTTGGTGTTGGGTCACAGAGATGAGAGTTGAACAGATCAGTGTCGAGTTCGTTGCTTTTCGTTTTACCCATTCGTCTAATGGCCTCCTTTTCCGACTTACACAACTCAAGCAGCGGTTCCACAAGAGGAGCAGACTTGCCACACAGTCTCAGCCCTGATTTCTCATTCACCGGAGCAACCTTGCTCTTCACCCAGTTCAGTCAGTCCTGACCTTTTAACTTCCATTCCCCTCCACACTGCCAGGACTTAAAGTTAATAAGGAGGGAGGGTCGTGAAATCAAAATAATAAATATATAATGTGTAATATATGTAATATTATTAATAATGTTTAATAAAATGTGTGATTATATATGCGTGTAATAATGTGTAATAAATATGTATGTGTAATAATAAATATATAATGTGTAACCTTTAATTCTGTGCTAGTAAATCAGTCTCTTTGAACTCCTGATAATTTTGGTATCTCGTTATTTGCTATTACTTTACTTCATGCTAATTTTTCCAAGACTTTGCTTCTCTGCCAAGGAAAACTTCATTCTCAGATATGGATATCTAGCCCTTATACCCGGGCATTGCGGTTTCAATATTTTGAAAGGCTCAAATCCTAAATTTTTCCTGGCTACTGGCATGCAGTCTGCAATTCTGTTTTTTGTTTGTTTGTTTTCTGTCTAATTTTGCACACACTTGCTTTCCTTAATTTAACTGCCTTTTAGAACATAACTTTTCTTATACCTTGTCTGTACTAAAACTATATGACAAGGACTCAGTACAAACTAAATATAAAAGATGTTTGGCCCTTGTAATAAATATTTTTTGTAACCAAGAAGGGAATCTCTGGATGCACCTTGACATTTGCCTGTGATCATATTAGGCTACTTGCAAATTGCTCTCTGCATGCCTGGGTCATTCAGCTGAAAAAGATAAAACTGTGATTGTTGATCAGTGCAATCAACCACAATGCCATCTTTTCAATTTACTTTTGTAAGAGATGTTCCCCATGTAGCTTCAAATTTCAAACATTTTATGTAGTCACTGCTAACCTTGAGCTCCAGATCCTCTTTTTAAAGCAAAGAGCATTATATGAAATAAAAATATCTATAAACAGTGAAAACAAGTTATTTTAATGACACTTTTCATTTTCTGCTTTTTTCCCTCTGCATTAAGCCTATGCAGAAAGATGGGTCATAAATTTGGGTTTGTCATGCTAAATGAGATATTATCATTTTACCTGACATTCTTACAAAACTTTCCCTAAAACAGAACCTGTACAAGCATAGTGATAGGGGTGAAATGTGTTCAGTCATCCAGAGTACAGGTCCTGGTCATCATGTTTGCCAGCAGGTGTTCACCTAGCTTCTCATCCCACAGGAAGGTCTAGATTCCTTTCCATAAAAAAAGACAGCATCTATGATGATAAAACAAAAGCAGAGAGAAACTGCCCATTTGCTAGCCAGATGATTGTTTGGCTGTGACAAAATACGTGGAGGGAAAACAATTAGGTTCACAGCTTCAGAAGTCCCAGTACACAGCTACTCTCTGTGCCCATGGTGAAGGATAACATTATGGTGAATAGCACACGGGACAAAGGCTTGCATACTTCATTGTACAAAGAAACAGTAGTCATCCAAGGCAATGCAACGTACAGTCAGCCCCAAGGACAGATGCCCAGTTATTTTCTTGAGATAGTTTCCATTTTAAACCATTCCCTTGACTCCCATTGGTCTGTTTAAAATTTTTATGCATAAGCAAAATAAACATCAGTTTTATTGGAGGACTGGTAGTCATAATTATTTCTGAAAACACAAACACAAATATATTCAGAAGCATACTTTAATTAATAACCTAGGTGTTTCTGAATCAAATTGTCAATCCAGATTAAATCTATCAGTATCTCTCTCTGAGAAGACTGCATTTGAGTTGAGGTACAGTGATAACCTGTTAGTCCTTTTGGATATCTGAGGGAGAAATGATTTTTGCAGAGTAAATAAGGGGAAAGACTGCATAGGTGGGTGTATATGAGAACCATAGCTTTCTGAAGAAAGCTGTGCAAACAACAGACATGTTTCCTATAGTAACTATTATGTCTTAAGTTGCTCAAGGCCTTCTAATTTTTGGAAGATAGATTTACACTTTATTCCTAGGAAGAAGCCAAACACTAAGGCCAACAGTAAAAGAAGAGCTCCCAAGATTAAGCTGCAGTCATTAGGACAACAAAGACATGGTTTATTGATTTATTACTTCTCTCCTTTCCTCATAACTTCTTGACTATTAGAAAACCTAGTTTTCTGAGTAGCACAAGTCAAATTCCTTTCAGCATATGAAGTCAAACATGCTATCAAAAACCTCTTGTACATGCACATCTGACATGACAAGATAATTTCCTATAAGTTCTACATTTGATTTATAGTATGTATAAGAGAGAGAGAGAGAGAGAGAGAGAGAGAGAGAGAGAGAGAGAGAGAGAGACAGAGACAGAGACAGAGACTGAGACCTGCACAATCAAAGGTTTTATTTCTTCATTATTAGATAAGCTTAATTGAAAAACTATAAATTTCTTTTTTCATTATTTATAAAAGTCTTTTCAGTTTGACTAAATTATACTTTCAGAACAGAAAAAAAATGAATATGTCTATCATGGCTTTTTTTAGGGGGGAAACTATTTTCATCTTCTAAAGTAGGTATTATACAAGTTGAGATTACCATTCTTATCAACTTCACATCCAGTTTATTCATATATAAAACCAATATTTGGGTACACTATATGGCTCAATGTGGGTAAATACCCTCACCACCAAGCCTGACACACTCTTTTAGGTCCCTGGGTCTCATATAGTGGAAGATAAGAACTGAGACCTTCGTGTTTTCTTCTGACTACCATATATTCACAATGTCATACTCATGTGCACACATACACGCAAACATTCACCCACTCTTACACACACTCAGTAATGCACTTATATACATACATAAACATGCATGCATGTAGACACAGAATAATAGATAGATAGATAGATAGATAGATAGATAGATAGATAGATAGATAGAGATAGATAGATAAACATAAATAATATAATCCAAAATATAATTCAGGTGATTGACAGCTATGAATTGCAAAGAACTTATGTTTGGCAAATCAGTTCAAAACATTCTTGGTAGCTAGAGGTTGAAAAGAATCAAGCATGCAGAAGCTCAAAATATTTTCTTTGAGACAAGATCTCTAAAAGCTGAGTTATTTGTCACAATTTCTTTTAGTATAAACATAATGTCCATAAAATATATTTTCATTGCATTAGCATTTTCTGAAGTTGTATATCTTTAATTTATTGTGCCTAGGAAGGCATAGATTGTTTTCTTAAAGAGGCAACATTTTAGATGAAAGATTATACCTCATGTAGTCTGTTCAGTTATTTCGTAAACAAGATCAGAACTATTCTCTTTTGGTTTCCGAGGTTGGTGATAGATTATATAAATGTCTTAGATTCAGGACCTTCCAGTCTACTATGAAACAGTGTATGCAGGCATCTTCATGCCATATGTGGTGAGGAAGAAACACAATCTCAAGTGTGGAAACACAAAGAAGTATAAAAAGGGAAAATAAAAGTATTTGTGATTCTCTAGGAGAATAGGAGTATTATCTTGAAAAGTTTTGCTTGTTTTTGTGGTTGATGACAATTTTAGCAGGAAAGGATCATATTTTGTTAGAAGTAATCTATTGGAAACATTAAACCTGTCTTTGTTTGAAGGTTATGGAAATGTTTACGATTTTGTTCAAACATGGGCAAGGAAAGTCTTGGGCTAGACTATTTTAATGTCATCAGTCATATATGAATATTCTTTCTATATAGTAAGCAAACATAAGTATATTTAAAGATTTCTTGGGTAGAATTATTGATATATTACACAATACACATTTAATAGTATTTTATTTATGAACATTGACATTACTTAAAATGCTTAGATCTATCTACATCTTTGATGGGGTCAAGATCCCACAATGAAGGAGTGGACAACTCCCATTCATTCTCTGAGGATTGAAGCAAGGTGTTGCTTCAACTCTGAGTTTGAAGTAATATAATCCACAGTGGGGTTGGCAGACAAGTCCCACAGGAATGAATCAGACAAAATGGAAATTAGAGGTAAAGTAAACACTTCAGTTTGTGTTCTGCAAATAACCTCTCCAACTCCTCCATATAGTGATGGTTCCTCCCTCAGTTTGAGAACACCTGAGATACAGAGGGTCAGGGGTTAACATTTCAAAGCAGAACTTTAATGTTGCAACATGTCAAGTTTCTCAATATTTTCGTACTAAGTAACAAATCAAAACAGATAAGCATTTGATTTGATTTGGTATCAAATGCCAAAGAGAGAGTGAACATTTACATATTTAAATAGCATA